GAAAAATTAGCTTGTGAATATTAAAACTAACTGGCTCCATATTAAAAAGCAAATGAACGGATTCAGAAGTTTTGGAAAAGCGCCCTTTTCCAAAACTGTAAGACGCAAAATACAGAGAGAGGGCGAGAGAGAGTGAAGAAGGGCGGATGGGAGAGGGGATGGGGAGGGGTTGCAATGGGATGAGTGCCCGAAACTATTTCCTTCATGTACACTGTACTCGATTTCATCACGATTTCTTTAGACGGGTAGTGATGTAAGTCAGTTGACTGTTGGCGACTGGGTCATTCCGTCACGTTCGGGCACTGGGACATGGCGAACATACGCTAACATTGCCGAGAAAGATCTGATAAAGATTGATAATAATCTTCCGCTCGATGCTGCTGCCACATTTCAGGTAATCTGCTAAATTTGGCTACCCTTGCATCAAATAAATTATCTTCCTAGTCGGTTGCACTTTCTTCCTCTACGAGAGTCAGCGTTCGAACGAGGTGCTGATGCTGAACACAAAACAAAAACACCTCGAAATGACTAAAGCCATGCCAAATTGCTGGAGAACTGCTGAGCTGTTAATCTTCCCCACAGTCAAAACGAATGTCAGAATTGCCAGCAGGCTAATTGCTGTGCACTGCGATATTGGTCAAGATAACTTGAAAAGTTTACACATTCATACTTAGAGGGTCAGATTGTTATTTACGGCTAATCTAAACATATATTTATATATAAATTGATAAGTTCACGCGATTTTTTTTCTGTTTATAGTATTTGCGGCAGATTTACGAAGAACTTGAAACTATTTAGCCATTCTTATAGGTCAATCCTCCTACCGCTTATCGTATGTTAAAGGATTTTGTTGAGCTGAAACCTGGTGACCTGGTTGTACAAAATGGTGCCAATTCTTCTGTCGGCAGAGCAGTTATTCAGGTAATTTGATTGTAGCATAAAAACAACTTTGCTTTTTTGCTGTTGTTTCACTGTACCACCGTTTTATCTACCAGTGGAAGAAACAAATTTTCCAGGGCCGTTAATCATCGAACCTCCTTCATTTGGCGCATCCCAGTAATAGTTTTCGTGCTTTATTTCGTTATTCTTATGAAGGGGAATGCTTAGTATAGCACATCTCTTCTGCTGCTTTTATCTCTTTTAGGCGAAGCAAAATTGGTCGAAGTAACTATGTAAAATAAATTCACTTTCATAATAAATGAATTTCAAACGGTCACTAGAAAATCTTATGTTCTCACACCAAAGTACACAGGCCTACGGCAGTCTGCCTAGAGCTCTGCATTTTATGATTTTTTCTGAAATCTCTTTCGCTATTGAAAAGTTTTTAGCTTGCCAGGAATTGGGGTTTGCGAACTATAAATGTTATACGTGAACGGCCAGATTTCACAGAAATTGCGAATGAACTGAAAGCTCTTGGTGCCAATGAGGTTTTCACCGAAAAACAACTGAAAGAAGCAAAGGTTATTTGAGTGCCGAAAATATTGTTGTAACATCAAATCCGACTTTGCTGTAATGCATCCGAGCGTTAACCATTTTTTTAGCAATATTAAGTCGCTTAGTCCAGCGAGCTGCTGCATAGTTTCAGTTAGTGGTTGTCAAAAATTTCCCATAATCGCTGAACATTTGACAGGGGAAAGAAGTTTGGAATGTTTTCCGTGTTTTTTTTGTAATTTTCTCATATTTCACAAACACTTCTATTGCATAAAGTCCTCGTCGTCTGCTGTTGTGACCGATAAAATGTTAAGGTCAAAAATGCTCGTCTGGCGCTGAATTGTGTTGGCGGCCGCGGTACTTTGTTCCTCATTGGCTGTTTAGGAAATGATGGTATCATGGTCACCTATGGTGGTATGAGCAAACAGCCAATACAGGTGCTGACAGTAACACATTATTTGGCTTTTAATGAATTTAATATAACAACGTAAAAGGGGCCTTGCCGCCTTCAGTGTTATTTTCCTGTAAATATGCCGCCTTCAGTATTTTCTTGCTTTTGCGCACCCCACCGTCTGCACTTCCAGGATTGACCTGGAAGCTGCAACA